AATTCATAAAATCAGTTATTTTCAGTGTGTGCAATTTATAAGCTTTTTCATTTTTACTTTTCCCTTTCTGTGTGTAAGAATTGCAATAATTGTGGATTTAGGTGCTAAATAACTCATTAGTTCTTAAAAAATCTAGCTCTCATGTACCCAAAAAAATAGCAGTAAGTGATTTTTTGGATCTTGAAATCATCCAGTAGGAAAACAGAAAATAATAAGGCTTAACACAGAGATATAAACATGCCCTGTACCATATAAGAGATGTTCCATGGTCTCTTGCTTATAGTGATGAGACATTACGGAAACCGTTACTGGAATTTTTTCTCCTACCAAAATGTTATTTGAGCTGCAGACTAATAGAAAAGCATTTACGTAAGAAAACTATGCAAGTTTTATTATGTAACGTTGTAACTTCTGTGTTGTTTTCTGTTTTATTTCAGTGAAAGAAGCTGGAAGAGACTTCACCTATTTTATTGTGGTGCTTGTTGGAATTGGTGTTACAGGTTATTTTTTATGATTACATTCTTTATCAGAAGACACTTTTTATAAATTCCGTCACGTTTGGTAAGTTTTCATTCCATTTGCTGTTATTTCTTTTACAGGTGGTTTGTTCTACGTGATTTTTAAAGAGCTATTCTCTTCTTCTAGTCCAAATAAGATCTATGGAGATGCCTTGGAGAAATGCAGATCTCACCCTCAGGTTGGTTTGTGGGCTTTAGTCATAAGTTTATGTTTCTCAGTAGTTATTGTCTCTTTTCAAGTCAAAAGTTCACACAAGGAATCTCACAAGCCAAGCTACGGGAAAAGCCATGTGGTGCTTAGAAGATCTGCCAGTGCTTTTAGCTTGCCAGAGGTGGGTCAGCTCCAAACTGGAGCCTGTGTTAGGACGGGTCAGTGCAAGCGTTGAGCGTGTGTGAATTAGCCTGCTGGAAGCCAAGTGCATGTGCCAGAGCACAAAAACTGATGCAAATACAATCTGCCCTTCAGAGCATGTACTTGTGCCTACATACGGAAAGTCTTACAAACATACCTGACTTCCTGCTAAATGTAGTACTTAAGGAGTTCTGCAGGCCA